ATATATATATATATATATATATATATATATATATATATACACACACATACATATATACACACCTTCTCACTGGCTATAAAGGTAAATTAACGCCACACAGAATCCATAAACTAAAACATGGGAACTATGATTTTTTTGCAAATGAGTGAACAGAACTGCCCGTGCAATTATTTGCATGCTAGTACAGTGTAATAAACTAACCATCCCTTGTTCTGACTTGCAAACCACCTGGTGCTTTTTTTTCTGACAAGATAATACACAATACAAGCAGGATTATATAACATGACAAGCTGCATTATAATCCCATTCCTAATGCATTATAACACCACTAATAAGTTCTCAATTATAACCATAGTTCAATTCAGTTCAATTCAAGTTTATTTGTATAGCGCTTTTCACGATACAAATCGTTGCAAAGCGACTTTACGGCAAATGAAGTTTCTACAATATTTAGTGGTAGCTTATCAGTGGTGACTGTCAGTTAATGTACATATTAATGTAAACAGTTCATGTAATGTACATAGTTATATTACACTACATTTTTGTATCTTTGAATAGTTTCCAGGCTGATGTGTCATGTCATGTATTATGACCTATTAGAAAGATCTAGGCATGAAAATTACAGTAGATCACAATATGCATTTTTAGGAATTATGAATGGCTCTATGCAGTACATACTTTAATTTCCCAAAATAACTAACTATCTAAGTGGGTCAGTTATAATGCGTCTAGCCGAAGTTTGTTACCGGTCTACAGTCAGACACATGCAAGTCTTAAAAACGAGTGTTCTGGCTACCCTGTTTTGCACTTCAATGCAGTTTTAATATGCTATACTGAATAAATGATTTGAAAATAGTACATCTGACATAATTGCCTGATAAAGGGAAGCAATGCATGCACATAAATATTATGCATTAGCGCCATACGTGTGCGAGTTTAAGGCAAATCAGTGCCTGACTTAAATAAGACTATAAAGTTGCAGACACGTGGCTCTTCTGCAACACTGATCGATCAATTGTTTACAAACCTCCTCAATGTGTGCAAAGACATTCTGAATGCTGTACAAGTTTAGATATTAGAGAACAAGCTAACACAGTCCTTAACCTGCACTTTCTGATGATTCATAGGCAAAAACATACACCAAAATGAATAATTATGCGCAAGTGTTTAAGTGCAAAGCGGGTTAAAAGGTGATTCAACAGATGTAACTTGCATCAACACGGTCTATGACTGCAGCTATAAACGCATTAACTCCATGAAAACTACCTTTATATGTGACTTAACACTTTTACGTGTGTGCATATGTGTGTGTCGTTCGCTAGGCCTTCCATCACCGGAGTTTTGTTCGGGAGGCGACCCGCCCTCTCGTACCTGGGTTTGTAGGCCCAGCCCGCGCTCTGCGCCGCCGCGCTGACCATCCCTGTGGAGAGTTTAAAACTAATACAATTATTACACCCTCTCTCTCTGTCAATAACCTTATTCCAAAATACACCTTTACATTGTGATCAGGAACAGTTATCATTATTAATAGGTAGGGCATGTCCCCTACTTTTCCATTTGTTCTTATACAGGTTTTATTTGTGATTTGGCCCATATATTAACTTTATTCTTCTTCTGAGATTTAGATGTCTTAATGCCATTGCATTAGCTATTTAAATAAATGATTTTTCTTGTTTGTCTCCGAACTAACTTCACTTTTAAGACAGGTTCAGACAGGTTTGATAATACAGTGGATTTCAAGCTGTGGATTGGCAAATAGTTAAAAGTTTACAATGACAGCAATTAGTTTTAAATAATATATAACATCTATCATCCACCACAAAACCAGTCATAAGGGTCAATTTTTCGAAACTGAGATGTATGCATCATCTGAAAGCTGAATAAATAAGCTTGTTAGGATCGGACAATATTTGGCTGAGATGCAACTATTTGAAAATCTGGAATTTTGTTAGGATAGGACAATATTTGGCCGAGATACAACTATTTGAAAATCTGGAATCTGAGGGTGCAAAAAAGTCAAAATATTGAGAAAATCGCCTTTAAAGTTGTCCAAATTACGTTTTTAGCAATGCATATTACTAATCAAAACTGAAGTTTTGATGCATTTACGGTAGGAAATTTACAAAATATCTTCATGGAACATGATCTTTACTTAATATCCTAATGATTTTTGGCATAAAAGAAAAATCGATAATTTTGACCCATATAATGTATTTTTGGCTATTGCTACAAATATACCCAAGCGACTTAAGACGGGTTTTGTGGGGTTTAAACAAAGAATAATTTATATCCTATTTAAAATGTTGTTTTTTTCAACTGATGGTTTGATGTGGTCCACAGTTTTTGTTTTACTATTGAAGTGGTCTACAACCTGGCGAAGTCTGAGAACCACTGCCACAACAAAGTGTTACAATATTTTTGACTGTACCTTAAGTATAATATTTTGCCATTTAAAAATGAAACATCTTTGTCATGTTTTGCTTGAAAGTATACTTGTGCTATATTTCCTGTAAAATAAATGTTTGAAACGCGCGTCCTCCGATACAGCTACACATTCAACCGAGCGTGAGAAAATCACATATTCCTCCAAACGTTACGTGATCCGAGCGCTGGTGGCGGGGGTCGGGCGGCTGATTTGTGCTGTGGTTTAAGCGCAGGGTGAGAATCGCTGCTCGTGGCCCCCAAACAATCACAGAGAGACAGAAGCGCTGCTGCCTCAAGTCCCCATATTGGCGTTTCTCCCAAACATTCACTTCCGACAAACTTTAGATGGAAGTTGCTTTTCTCCCCCCTCCTATACTTGTGCTATATTTCCTGTAAAATAAATGTTTGAAATTTTGTGTAATAAATTGACATTCATATTTTTAAGTGTCCAAATACATAACGCACACTAACGGTCAAAACGTTTGGAATAAGTACGATTTCTTGAAAGAGGGATTAATGCTCTTTAAGGATGCATTTACTTGATGAAAAACAGTAATATTATGAAGTATTATTACAATTTAAAATAACTATTTTCTATTTGAATATATTGTAAAATGTAATTAATTTCTGTGATACAAAGCTGTATTTTCAGCATCATTACTCCAGTCTTCAGTGTCACATGATCCTTCAGAAATCATTCTAATATTCTGATTTGCTGCTCAAGAAACATTTCGGATTATGATCAATGTTGAAAAGAGTTTTTGCTGCTTAATAGTGGAAACTGTGATACACTACCATTCAAAAGTTTGGGGTAAGATTGATTTAAAAAAAAAAAAGAAAGAAAGAAAATAATACTTTTATTCAGTAAGCGTGCTTGCTTGATCAAAATTGACAGTAAAGACTGTAATAATATTTAAAAAAATGTTTTTAAAATATACTTTTTTGAAATATTATAACAAGTCTTTACTGTCACAGCTTGCACAGAAATTCTTTCAAAAACATCTAAATTTTTCCAAATGTCAATTACAAACTTTTCAACAGTAGTGTACATAACTATACAAACTTGTTTGTGATTTTAAATAGACCTTATGTAAATGTAAGTTACCCAAAACTTTCATAATCAACTGCTTAACATTTGCAAACAATATCTGACTCTCCATAGACCTTCAAATTGTATTATCATTGTACCTAAATGTTATTTTGCTATTTGCTAAAACTATTCAGTTTTAGTGAATTCTATGCCAAGCATTTTCATCATGCACCAAAATGTAACAAGTCAACACTAACATACAAAAATAGTCAACAAAGAAGAAAAAGTTTATTATAAAGTCTATTAAACATCCCTATGATGATAACACTAGAGCCTAGCCACTATCATTTAAAAGTCATCAAATAGATTCTTCAACCTCCAGAAACCTCTAATATATCTGTACAGTATCAACCGCTTGGCAAAATGCCCTTTAAAGCTGTGTGTTTATGCCAGTAGAATTTAATTAAATTCTTAAATAAGATGAAAGCAACAGAACTAGTTTATCTATATGCACAAGGTTAGTGCAAAAACACTTCACACAAATCTTGTTTTTGGAGTGCTGTTCACAGAATTATTTCTTACAAATGTACATCAAATACTGATCCAGTAAATACAAGAATTCTAAGTCACACTCTAGATTGTTATAAAAGACTTTATAGCATACTAAAAAATGATAATAATATTTGTCCTTCATAAAAGCCCACCATATTAAATAAAATATTATGATATCTTTTTATTGTAACAATTATTAATATAAAACTGAATTTCAATGGTTATAGTTTTAAATAAACTTTAAAAAGAATACAAATGTTGATTAGGTTTTAAAGTCTATCTTTCTAGGTAGCTCTAACTATCTACACTATCCAGAAATGTTTTAATTCATTGCCTAACAAGACTAAAAGCTGCAATGCAGTACCGAATGTTCTAGTATTTATATTAGTGGTATATTCCAAGGAGTTACATCCGAATGCCTTTGGTTTAACACATTTTCAATTCATAGTCAAAAAAACAAAAAAAACCCAACCAAACAAAAAAACAATTGGTTTAGTCCATCCTGATTGAGTTTGGCAAATGATGATATAGTTATCGTCGGATGCTGCCTGGCTTGGAACTGTGGACAGATATTAGATGTGTGGAATTAGATATGTGACCATTTTAATGGGAATTACACTATAAAAACTAAATTGCAAAATAGATTCATGCTTGTGTAGGCAGCAACATGTTTTTTGAAGTCATAGTTTCAGGCAAAATGAAAATTTGCTGAAATTGTACTAACCTTCATCCAAGATGTATATGAGTTTATTTCTTCATGGGAACAGATTTGGAGAAATTTTGCATTGTATCACTTGCTCACCAATGGATCTTCTGCAGTGAATGGGTGCCGTCAGAATGAGAGTCCCAACAGCTGATAAACATTACAATAATCCACACCACTCGTCCAGTCCATCAATTAACATATTAAAAAGTGAAAAGCTGCATGTTTGTGAGAAACAAATCCATCATTAAGATGCTTTTAACTGTAAACCGTTGCTTCCGGCTAAAATACAATCTACTATACTATCCATAACATTGCTTTCTCCAGTGAAAAAGTCGTCTTTTCTGAATCAAGCACAGATCAAGCACCGTTTACAGGCGAAAACAGTCCAAAATAGTTTTTGGACTATAGGATTTTGATGTGAGAGGACAACAGGGGATGGACTTTTTCCACTAGAGGAAGCATTATTATAGTTTATCGACTTATATTTTGGCCAGAAGTGACGGTTTAAAGTTAAAATGCTTTAATGATGGATTTGTTTCTTACAAATGCGCAGCTTTTCACTTCACAAGTCATTAATTGGTAGACTGGAGTGGTGTGGATTACTTGTGGATTATTGTGATGTTTTTATCAGCTGTTTGGACTCTCATTCTGACGGCACCCATTCACTGCAGAGGATCCAAATGGTGAGCAAGTGATATAATGATACATTTCTCAGATAAAGAAACAAACTCATCTACATCCTGGATGGCCTGAGGGTGGGTAAAGGTTTAATTTTTTTTGGTGAACTATTCCTTTCATTTAGCATTTAGAAACAGATAGTGATTACAACTCATAATTAACCATGATTTGCTGCCTGTTCTGGCAATTAACATTCTTTAATTTATATATATTTTTTTGTATGTTGAAGAAACGTTAAATGGGTGGTAATAAGCAACTAAATGACATAATAAAGGTGTAATAAAAATGACAGAGAGATTACATAAGGGAACAGGTCAAATGAAAATGTGTGTTGGTACCCAGGATATGGCGGAGGTGGGGCATCATGTGGTCCATTGATGGCAATGGCCTGTTCATAAGAAGGTAAACCATGAGCATCTGGGCTGGAATCTGAGCCTGTGTGAGGAATAGGATGCAGAGAGACCTCCTCCAGTCTCCGGATTATCACAGAGGCATTGCTTCGGGTGGATCGGCGTCTGATGGAGCTAAATTTAAAAGGCAAAACATTGCAATCAGTCTCTCCAGATCCTACAGCAAATGACAAACTCTTAAGATAATTCTCTCAAACATAGAGAATGTGCTTCACACATCTCATCGTAAAGCCTTACCCCCGGAAGCCATGGTCTTTATTCCTCCCCTGGCAGAAGTACCAGATAACGAGGCCAACTATAACAATAAAGACTCCGGCGGAGATAATGCCCACCAGCAATGTTGTTACATCAACTTTTGATTGGGATTCACCCTTATCTATGAATACAGGTGGAAATAAGTTATCAAATAATAAAGTTATCAAAAACCTAAAAATAATATACATTTAAAATAAAATTTTTATTTGAGTATTATTTTAATATCTGACAGTGCTGACAAGTTCGTTTTTTTTTAAAGACAACTCTTATGCATTCATTTGATCAAAAATACAATAAAAACAGTAATATTTTGAAATATTATTACAGTTAAGAACTGTTTTCTATTTGAATATACTACATCATAAAATGTAAATTATTCCCGTGATGTCAAAACTGAAATTTCAGCAGCCATTACTCCAGTATCGATCCTTCACAAATCATTCTAATATGCTGATGTGGTGCAATTATTATTAATTATCATTGGTGCTCAATTATTAATAATGTTTCTTATTATAATTTAAAAACAGTTTTCACCCTTTAATATGTTGAGGAACAGTGATACATTTTTTCAGGATTCTTTGATGAATAGAAAGTACAAAAGAACAGCGTTTATTTGAAATATACATCTTTTGAAACAATATAAGTTTATAAATTATAATCAATTATATATACATTTTATGCATCTTTGCTGAATAAAAGTATTCTTTTCTTTTTTTAAATCTTTCTTCAAACTTTGGAATGGTAGTGTATCATGGTTTACACAAAAACATTAAGCAGCAAAAGCAGTTTTCAGCATTGATAATAATAAATGTGTCTTGAGCAACAAATCAGCATATGATAATGATTTCTGAATGATCATATGAGACTGAAGACTGGAGTAATGATGCTAAAAATTCATCTCAAATGTAAAAGTTACATTTCAAAATATATAGTTATTTTAAACTAATAATATTTCACAATATTACTGTACTTGCTGTATTTTTAATGAAATGCAAATCTTGGTGAGCTTAATTAAAACCTCTTTCAAAAACGTTCAAATAATCTTAATTATTCCAAACATTTTACTAGTAGTGTACATGGAAAGGATTCCACATAAACGGAAATTCACAATCAAAAAAGACAGAATTTTCAGAATTTTTTTTTTCCCAGACAAACACAACGACACAATGAAGACGTGGTTTTAAAAAAAGTGGAACTTTGATGAACTGGGAATATTAAATTAGTATGCTAAGAAGTCTGGATGAACAGGCTTCTTTTAGTAGATAAACATTTGACTTAGAAGATGAAAAGATTTCAGTGTTTTTTTTAATCATTCAGGTGTATGTGTGACAAAAGCTCACCCTCTGTATATGTCCTCCAAAAGGCATTCTGTCAAATCAAAAATTAAATGTGAATTAAATTAAAGTCCATTATGAAATTAACAAATGGGTGTTTGTTAATGCAGGTGTATTAAGAACTGATAATCAGATGCTGGGAGTGCAGGGAGTGTGTTGCTCCAAACACACTTCTGGTATCACTTTATAATAATCATCCTCATTTGTACTGCCTGAAAATGAGAGTTGTCTGCCCAAATCCAACCCATGGGCAAGAACACATGACAATGTCGTTTAACTAGGAGTGGTTGTCACAGCCTGTGTAATGAATAAAATTCATTAGTCAAGAATAATAACGGGATTACTCAACTGTATCAGGGATATTCTCAAAGACTTCCCGAGCTTCCTCGTAACTGCATATCTCCTCGTAGCACTCCCGTTCTAGATTACCCGGGGTGAAGATCTCAAAGTCGAAGCGGTTGAACAACAGGTGGCGTCCTAAAAATGTGTTGGCCTCTTGGTCCACAACAAACACTACACAGCACCAATAAATATGTCAAATGTGACTGAAAATAAAATGTCATCCAATAATCAAAGGTTATATATATATATATATATATATATATATATATGACCGACTTAGACAAAACATAATTTGATAGAAATATAAAATAAATCTGAACATAACCCTAAAAAAATACAATGAACTAAAGTAATGGATATCATTAACATCTCATAAACATACACTTATCACATCCTATCTTAGATCATGGTAGGATTTAATAGGAGATTGTGCTTCATTATTGTGTTTAAAAACTAAATATATTTAAAAGCATTGCCCACCTTTACTGTCTTGATCTGCTGGTATTTGAAGGGGTTTTCTCACACAAGCACAGTGTCCACATAAAGTGAAATGACACAGCAGGAGGACAAATATAAGCATTTCTAGTCAACTGCGGGGGAAAAGGACAAAAATTCGGGCTACTCAACGACAAGGAACGACAGACTGAATTCCAAACACACACACACACACCCATACTGTGTTCTTTCAGAAGTTGAAATTCCAGTAAACCAATCCAGTTACAATTGTTTCAGTAGTTTCCGTTGGTGTTAGTTTTAACTCGAATAAGTCAAATTCGATTTTAATAGGAAAAAGGCCTCAGCTTTGATGGTCGAAATCGAAAGAATGTGAAGGAAGATATCAAATGACTTACCTTTGAATATTAGTTTATATTTCCAGAGTTAAGAGTTCAACTTTACTTAATTTCCAGAGAGCACCTGAAGACATTCATGGTTTGGACGAAATGCCATTTGTTGTGTTCCAGGAAATGGGAGTTTCTGTTCACAACACAAAATCTGTTGAGTTGAGCAACACCTGCTCAGAGTCAGACCTGACAAATCGATCGTCTTACCTGGAGTGAGAGAAGAACGAGAACAAGTGCGAATTTCACGAAACCTACTATGGCGAAGGATGAGACCATGAATATTTATGAAGTTTTATGACGTTAGCCCAGTACGCCTACAGTTTGCCGAAAGGCAGACGTTGTGAGCGAATTCCAACACTTTTCAAACTTATGTTAACTAAAAAAAATAAATAAAATAAAATAAAACCCGTCACGTCACTGTATGCTCTCATAACATGTCAAAGAATATTGAGTCATTTTGGCTTGACATAGTAGGATTCTTAATTTATTCCCAAGCGAAACTGGCTGTATGGATGCTCTCTGTCACCAATGAGGGAAAGGAGGTTTACTTGAACATTTTAACAGCTATCCTGTCAGTGCTAAACATGCTGACATTCATGATTAGGGATGTAACGATTCACTCAACTCACGATTCGACTCATGATACTGATTACACGATTCGATTTTCTCACAATTTAAAAAATAAAAATAAAATTAGATTTAAGACAAATTGTAAATGAAAGGTGTGCTATTAATATTGCTTGGACACAATGCTGCACATTTCTTTGTGAAACAGAAATATGTCAAATAACAAAACTAAATTGAAAATTTAAAACAAACCCCATAAATCCCAAATAAATAAGACAAAAAAACTCTTAATATAAACAAAGGCTTTGCCTGTGCTCTTTCCATTCAAAATGGAAATAGAGGCAACCACTGTATTTGAATCTCAATCCAAACAAAGATGCTGAATACATAGCCTACAGCATGAGCAGTTTAAAAATCTAAATTAGATTGTATAATTTGAAATTTTAAAACAAAAACAGAATGCTCTGACTTTAGTTTTGTGAAACTAAACTACATAAAACATCTGCACGAAACGTATTCGGTTACTAACGTAACCTCGGTTCCCTGAGATATGGGAACGAATACTGCGTCTGCTAAGACGCTTTGGGGAAAACACCTTTTTCTCCGAATACTGAAACCTTTTTCAATCATGCAGTGTAACTGCAAGGCCATTGGTTCATGCAGAGTATTATTAAAAACGAACCAATGGCTCGGCAGCGGAGCTGCACGAGCCTATGGCGACACAGCCCGCCAGAGCCCGCCAATTTGGGCGGGGCATCTGGCTATATAAGCGTGCACTTCGCCATAGGATCCTCAGGTTACTTCGACTGAAGCGATGACCGAGTCGTGCAGCTACATAGCATGGCCAGCAACGCAGTACTCGTTCCCACTAAGATGGGAACCGTGTATGTTCCCTATCGATACTTCACTCGTACTGCGTCTGCTAAGTTGCTTTGGGGAACCAGTACAATCCCGCCGTGCTATGTTAGAGGAATGACCAATGCTTGAACTTGCCTTGAGCACCAAGTAATTGCAGGGAAGCCCCACAGGAAGCAATAGGGCCAAACTCACAGAGGTCAGCCTGGCGCTAAGTAATCGTTCCAATAAAAATCGTACAGACTCGGAACCCAGTGGGGGCCAAGAGCGTATAAAAAAGGCAAACGCCTGATTTAGCACTGGTTTTGCCAGAGTAAGTCCATTTAAGCAGAAAGGCCCCGAGCCTGTAAAGCCAGGACATCCAGATTATAAAACCTGGTAAATGTGGACGGCAAGGCCCAGCCGGCCGCCGCACAAATTTCTGTAGTGGAAACTCTGCTAGACCAAGCCCAGGAAGAGGCAATGCCTCTTGTTGAGTGGGCTCTTACTCCCATGGGGCATTGAAGGCCCAA